GGGTGGGGCTGTGTTCAATTTAACAAGGAAAAGTATTTGATGTTTTCTGTAATGAGAATGACACTCATGGAATTTCTTCTATGCTTCGTACATTCTGTCTCCTAATATGTAAGAAGTATTTCTGTTAAAGCTGTTTTGTAGTTTAACTCGAGGGGAAACGGAACTAGCTCATAGTTATTAGCTCAGATTTGATGTTTTCACTAAGTTTCAATGCTAGGAACACTCAACTGATTTCTTCTATTTGTCTTATATTCTTGTGCCAAACATGTAGGGAGGAACTTGTGAAGGAGTGTCTACAGGAGGGAACCAAGTTAGTTCAAGCTATTGCAGATGCCCTCTTCAACTTACCTTCAACAGAAAGTCCTGATGGTCCTCTAGTCAAGTTGCCTCAACCAAATACGAGATTACCTCGAGAGAAGCCTGTAAAACCTCATTTCTATTATTTATGCAAGAATTGTGTGTTTTTCTTAATCAGTTAAGAGTTGTGTGTTAGAGTATGTATTTGCAACAATGAACTCATTTTTCCGGGCATTCGCTATATTTTCAACAACTGAAAGTATTTTCTATTAGTTGGTACTTGCTGATAAAGAATAGTCCAACCTCGTAATGTCTTGGGGGCAGCATAAGTGGAACCTCATATGTGACTCGATCTCCAAATATGAATTGAATCTTATATGCAGCATAAGCTATGAAAATGCAATTTAACCATATCCTTATACATGCTAGATATTACAATAGCTAGAGTTGGTTTTGGATCTTTTCATTTTGTTTGATTTGTCTTCTATCCAGTTGCTTGAAAGTTAACTTGTGGTATCAATAGCTTATTATGAGTTGCTTATTTCAGCTTCCAAGGCCTAAACCTCCAACAAAATGGGAAGTGTTTGCGAAGAAGAAAGGTACCGTGTGAATGTCGTGTGGATTTTAGAACTGTCAATTCTCGATTTAATTGACTTTCATCGTTTTTATGTTTGAAAATGTCTTGCAGGTATACAAAAACGTAAGAAAGACAAGGTTGTTTTTGATGAACAAACTGGTTCATGGAAGCGCCGACATGGCTACGATCGTGTAAATGATGACAAAGATGTGCCAATCATTGAAGCCAAGGAAACTGATGGTAAATAAGAGAATTTTCATTCTTGCCTTCTGCAATATCTCAATTTGCTTTTAGGTCTCAAGCGCGGCAAGAATTCTGAATCATAGAATTTAAAGGGTCATATCATCCTAAAATAAATGTTTGTCTTTAAGTCAAAGTTCATTATCTCAGTTATCAATGGATGGTGATTTTGATTGTACTCTCTTACGTCAATCATCCGTACCATGATCACTATAGAGGAAAGCAACTTAATTTAGTGAATGAAGGGACCGTATCTGCATTAGCATTTTGACATTGCTCTGAAAATGTTCTCTCCCTGTTTTTTTTCAGAGCCTGGTCAAGATCCTTTTGCTAAGAGACAAGAAGAAAAGAAGAAGAGAGTAGAAAAGCAACAGAAAAATCGATTAAGTAACTTGAAGGAAGCTGCAAAAGCTGGTGCCTTGCCAAGGTCTTGTCCATCTAAACTTCTCATTGTTTTTCTGCCAAAACCTTAATTCTTTATTAATTCCTGCCATCTATGAAGATTAATTAGGTTTGTTGCTCCATGTCTCAAATCCTTTGTTTTGATGACTAGCTATTGAGTATCTTATTGCTTAGCAGATTTCATTCAAGAAAATTGTCAACCTCTGTTTCAATTGTCTTGAACCTTGCATCTTCCTTATTCTCTTAAAGTCATGTTGTTGATAAACGAAGATGTGTTTCTATTTGCAGTCATGTTCAGCTTGCTGCCACAGCACTGCCTATAACAGGAACACAAGCTGCACCAAGGAAAATTAGCAAGGATGAACTCGGCAATGTCGCTGGAATGGCAGCAAATGCAACAGCTAGTGGCGGAAAATTTGACAAGAAGTTGCCTGGGGAAAAACCCCCAAAACATGATAAGAAGTACCGTAAGGTTTGTATTATGGAAAGTGCATGCATAAATTTGCTTAGGACTAACCTGATTGTATTGTCTAAGTCAACTCTACTCTTGTGTATAACCAGTTCCTACCAGTTGCAGAAGGATCAGGAATGGGCTCCTTAGAGAAACAGCAAACCGAAAAGGTTCTAAACAAATTGATGGCCAAGAATTCCCACGAGATACTCAATGTGCAAAAGGTATGGTTTATGCTACCTTTTCCCGATGTCTCTACATATGTACATCTCCTTCATTTCATCGTTCGAAGAAAATTCCTAGGTGCTAATTTGTGTTGATTTATTTTCACCTATACCACAGGCTGTAAACATGTACAATGTGAAAAAGGACAAGAACCGAAGGAACCAAGGAGGGAAATCGTCATCAACTCCAAGCAAGTTGAAAGTGAAGAAGTCACCTTACAAGAAAACATCATCAAAAGGGCCTACTTCAATTAAAGGAAAATCCAAGTGACTTTGAAACCTCCTCATTGCAGTGTCAGTTTGAAGTTTTGATAGGTAGTAACAAGTAGACAAGTAGTGTAAGCTTAATCAGTTCAATTGCTTATTCTTCTTTTTCGCCAGCAAGAAAGTGTATAAGCTTCCTGCCACACCCAAATTATTTTTCCTTTTTTTTTTTGGGATTCAACAACAAATTCCTAAATTTTGTCTCATATCGCATATAGTAAGTGATGTGGAAAAGTGCAGTAGAGGGAGTATTTCTTTCTGGTTTGACATCATATGATGCGATATGCAGGAACTTGTCTATTGCGGCAGTTGCCATTTGGAGGAGCAAAAATCTGATTATTTTGTGTTGATAGAGGGAAAAAATATCAATCGTCTAATTTCTGTTCCAATGATACTGTGAAGAGATTCTTGAAAAAGGAGACAATACACTTTAATGAGAAAAATTACCTGCAACAACAACAACAACGACCCAGTATAATCCCATAAGTGGGGTCTGAGAAGGGTAATGTGTACGCAGATCTTACCCCTACCCCGAGGGGTAGAAAGGTTGTTTCCAGGAGACCCTCGGCTCAAGAAAGCAACAAGAGACGATATATTAGTACTATCAATAAACTTATAATAAAATAACAGCAATATAAGAGATACGGAATACGAAATAGATGGATGGTATAGTGCAATGCCAGAAAAATTTAATGAAAGGATAACTACCAAGCTATCTAAAGTATATGACAATACAAATTAAATTTGAGTTTGTATGCTAAATGCATAGAGAAGTTATTAAATTTATATTGGTTCATTACTTTGTCTTACCACAAACTTCCCCCTTTATCCGAGCATAGGAGAAGCTCAAATAGACAGTTGCTTCAAGACAACAGAATTTAAAGTTTCAACAAAAGTAGAAGCCTATAAATTATCAGTATGTAACCAACAACCAACTTTGAATTATATTACAAGATAAACAGAAGTAGAAACCTGAACAAATTTTACAGACACAATCTATCTTAATCACTTTCCAGCACACCATATACATTGACCTAAAGAGCCAAAAATGTCGAGCAACAAAACTTTGCTAGCAGATAAGAGTGTACTCCTAACAATTCTAACAAAAAACATCAGGGCAATTAAGCTCAGTAGAGATCTTCATTTATTGAATCGAAACGCTTGCTCTCAACTCTGNTATGTATCTTTTGTTGTCTTTGAATTGTATATATAGCTTCCGGTATTGCATTTGTACTGATGATATATACAAATTGTTACCTTTCTCGAAAAAAGATAACAAGTGGGGACAGTGTACCTTGCAGTAGAAGGGATCCATAAGCTATAGCTGCTCCAGCATGACCCTAGATTCAAGCAAAGAAAATTAGGTGGGGATAATTGTAGAGGCTCTTCACTTACTCGCTAGTAAAGCAATTTTCTACAAGATAGAGCTAAATTACGCCAACCACAGTTTGTCAACACGAATATGCTTCCCAAATGTACTTTCTCTTTTAAGTTTAATACGAACATCGTCGTTCAGAACAGCATATAATTTGTCATTACATAGTTAGACTATATGTACTGATTAGTTGTAGCATTCAACAAGCAGTAAAATGCTCGGTACCTTCTCAGATGCTCTATGGAAACACCACAATGCAGAGCCAACATCCCTTTTCACGCAATCCCCAGTAAGATACACAGCACCTAAGAGGTAAAGTGCACCTGGATGCAACTGAAAAAAAAAAAAGAGAATTTTTCGTGAGAAATTTAGGGCACTTAATAGGAAGAATAACTTCAGCTTTGCTAATAAAACACACACCTGGTCAACAGCCTTCTCCAAGTAGTAAAATGCTTGCTGATCTGATTGCACATACTCGTTCTGTGAAGATCATACATAAAGACAGTCAAAACTTTTACAGAATGTTTCTAAGACAGAACAAGAGAACAATTCAAGGGGAAAGTCAATAAGGTAGTTGATTATGCACTACAACAACAACCCAGTAAAATCCCACTACTGGGGTCTGGGGAGGGTAGTGTATACGCAGACCTTACCCCTACCCCGAAGGAGTAAGTAGATTAGTAGTCGATTATGCACTACTAAACCAATAATCTTCTGATGGACATTATGGAGCAAAAACATATATTCTTAAAACACCGAACTTATTAACCTATCAACAGAAGGAAAGAAAGACCGAGCTGACAGAATGTTTAACACAGACTTGTCTGACAACCAAACACTAATAGCGCAAAGGGGAGTCGCACAATAAT